CCCCAAAACCCCAAAACCCCAAAACCCCAAAACCCCAAGATTGGCATCAGAGTTGCGATTATTAGCTATAATATTATAAAGACTAAATTATTAAAGATCTCCTTAAAATGAAAAGATAGCCGAGGTTGGAGAGTTATTGATCGTTATGAGATTCGGCATCTTGTGGGGGTTGAGAGCCATCAGCCTCCTGTTTCCTGAAACATCCATCCAGCTTCTTTTTTGTCCACTTGATAGCAGGATCTGTTACGTAATACTTCATATTTCCTTGATTTCTTTGAGGTCCAATCAAGTGGTTGAGAGCTGTGAAGAACACAAGTGCAAAGAATAAGCTGAATAAAATAGTACTCAAAATCAGCACAGCAAACTGAGTGAAGAACACCAAGGTTGCCAGGAAGAGGAACACTCCACTTCCGATGGTTGTAATAGCTCCTGAGAAGATACTGATACCCATGCTACTCAGGGCTTCCTCCATTCTTCTATACCTATCCTCATAAACAGATTCCACATAATGGTTGGCAAGATGGACAACATAATCTACTGAAAATCCGATCAGGATGACTATGGCAAGGGATTCGAGAATTCCAAGTGTCCATCCCAAGATCTCCATAAAAGCTACAACAGATATAACGATCCCGGTGATGGAAGCAATAGCATATGTAGCTGTGATAATGTTCAAAGTGGAAATGATCAGGACCACAAAGGCAAATGATAATGACATTGCAGTTCCAGTGATAGCGCCGTTTGCAAATTCTTTCTCAGTAGCCAAGTAAGCCCAGTGGAACTCTCCTGTTTGTATGACATTGTTGACTCCAGTCTGTGATGCCTTGTTGTAGTTGTCTTTCAAGTCTTCCCACTGGTTGTACACTGGGTTTGTCTTCTCGTAGCCTTGAAATGGTTTCTGTACAGCCAGAGCTTCGATCCTCATGAAGTAGAGAGTTCCATTCAAGTATCCTATCGAGTTGTCGTTGTAGTAGTTCTGTCCTTCGGTGGTTGCCAAGTATGCTTGAAGCTGTGTGTAGAAACTACTCTGTGAAATTGTTGTTGGAGGATTGGAACCAGAAGCATAAATCAAGAAGTCTTTGACCCAGCATGTGACTTTCTTGTCTTTAACAAGCGAACTGTTGAGTAAGTCATCACAAATTGTCAAAATACGTTGCTGGTTGGTGGGAGATGACATATCAAAGGTGTCATCCCAGATGATTTTACCTCTGTCAGCAGCATCCCAGCTACTGACTCCATCTTTGTTGATGCCTTTGACACCCCAGACAAAGCTGATTTGAATAGTGTTGTCATTTTCACCAGTATTGTAGTCATTCCTTAAACTATTTGTGAGCTTTGTAACATAATGACTATCAGGAAGCATTTGGATAACCTCTGTTGCAGGTTCGAACTGAGTAATTCTCCAAATTGCGAGGACTGCCCAAATTCCTACAAACACTAGGATGATGATTTTGGCTTTGTTGATCCAGTTGTTCCAATAGACTCTGAAGAAGTACTCAATGCCTATAAAAATAGTTTTAAAACCCTGAAGCTTTTGGCAATACAAAATTTATGAAATTTTCATATAAAACTTTGCTAATAGTTATTAGTAAGTGTTTGAAGTTGCTAAACAAAATGGGCCCAAAAGTGATAACTAAAAATCCTATATCAACCTTTAAGTATTAGATTCTTGAAAAAATTTATACTATCAAAGAGATTCTTGATATCAAAAGATGAAAGATTAGCATATTTCGGAATTGTGAAGGTTTAGCATGAAAGAGTAGGCAAGAACAGTGAAATATTTTCTGGTACTAACTTGAAGCGAAGTTAAATCTCTAATTTCTGCACACTAACTTACCTCTTTCAGAGTTCAAGGTATTATGCTCATGCTCAGGGAGTTCTTCAGCCTTGCTTTGCTTCCTTACAATTCTTTCTTGCTGTTCAAGATCTTGTTCTTCCTCTCCTCCATCATTCTGCTGAGACATGTTAGCTCTAATCTGTTCAACGTTGTCATTCTCTACATGTTCACTGCTTTCGCTTTGGTTATGAGTGCGAGGAACTTTAGGTTTTCTTCTATAAAAATGAGACCAAGCCTCTACTAATAGCTTACCATTTATTGATCATCCTGGTGCACACATCTCCTATGAACTTGCGGTACCTGCACTTGTCGGCTAGAGAAGAGTCAGACAGCGACTAGAAACTACTTACATAAATATCTTTCGAAGATGATCAGACAGGCTGGGAATGTAACGATTGCGAACAAGTAGTTGACAATCACTAGAGTTGATGCGAAGTACCCGAAAGCAGAGATCGGCATGATCTTCGAAAACCCAGTCGCCAAGAAGGCGATGGCTGTTGTCAGAGAAGTGGTGGAGATAGCCTTTGTAGCTTTCTTCCAGGTGTAGTTCATCCTTGGCTGGAAGTTGTTGTGTCTATCCTCATCGTCTGGGTTCAGAGGAGAGTAAGTTCCAGATTGTTGCCATGCATCGGTGAATACGAACACGTTGTCAGCAGAGATACCGAGGATTACAAATACAGCAACTAGGTTGAGTGACTGGAAGAAACTGATCTGGAATACAAACCTGGTCAAGCAGATAGAGATTGGATAGGAGAATGCAATAGCAGCCATGGCACAGGAAGCAAGGAAGATACTTTTGAGATGGAAACTGACATAAATGAAGACAAATGTAAATGAAACTATAATAAGACTGAAGTCGTTTATTGTAGTTTCAGCTTCTTTATAATTTGCCCAGGCTCTGTTATAAAGTTGAACTTTAAGGCTAGTATTGACAGTCTTGAATCTTTTCTCCAAATCTAAGGAGAAGTCAGCCATTTTTTCCTCTTGTCCAGCTTCATCATCAGTGTAAGTCTTCCATCTCTTACCATCGATCTCGATTGGGCCTGCAAAAACATAGATGGCTCTTGCTTTCTGAGAAATAGTGTTGTTCTGAGTGAATTGAGTTTCCATAAACACATTGTTCTGGAAGTACAAGCTCTCACTTGCTCTGATGTTAGCTAGGTAAGTATCAACATCAGCTTGAGTCAGAGTGTTGATATTGGAAGCAAAATTCTTAGAAAAAGAGTAGTAACTCCTTGACATGTCACAGCTTGAGTCTGTGCTACTCACAGCCAATCAGAAGTTAGCAAAGTTAGCATCACTGATGATCGCTTGCTCAACAGCATACATTTCTTTAATGTAGTCAGCAGTGAGGATAGTCGAGCAATTTTTACACTCGAAGGTGATACTTGTAGTCCATTTATCGATACTAGTGGTTCTCAGAGGTTGGATACCACCAGCATAGTTGGTCTGGACAGCTTCTTTGGATAACTCTAGCATGTCCCAATTTTTCATCTGGATAGAGTCCCATACCATGTAATCTCTATCATGTTCATCAGAAAGTTCAAACCCTCCAAGGGCAATTCAGGTGACTGTCATCACAATTGCGAAAACTATTGTAGCCAACACTACTATCCAGGTTTTCTGAACGATAAATTTTGTAAACCAGTTGTCTTTTCCTAAATGAGCGAGTTCTTCTTCAAGCTTTTCCTTCTGCAATCTCTCATAATATACATCATCTTTGACTTCTTCGACATTGTCGTTTTGGCCACCTTCCTTAAGAGAAACAGAGTGAGCTTGAGGTTCATGAGCAGAGGAAACCCCGAGCGGGGTCTCCTGCTTTTCATCCTCTTCTTCCTCTTCCTTAGAGAGATGCTCTGAAGTGCTGATCGGAGGTAATGTAGCAAGATTATTCTCGTTGTTCATAAAAAATTAATTATAAAATAGTCAGATTTTCCCTTTATAAATTCAAATTTGATGAGAAATTAAACACAATTTTGGATTTTAGTAAAATTTCTAGAAATTTTGTGTGAAATTGATTAAGCAAGACCGTTGATGAAGGGTTTTGGTAGGGGTTTTAGGGCATACGAGAGTAGAGTAAAGGTCCTCATATGGCTAATAGAAGCTCTCAACTGATTAGAAGGATCGCTTCCCATATTAAAATTGTGTTGGAATTTTACAGAAAATATGAGAAATTTATTTAAAAGTCGCGCGACATATTTCTGATCACCCTCCTGATCAATTTGATTTAGAGCTATGACAAATGGAGTAATCCCTGCTTGTGCATCAGATTGCCCTATATCTAATAGCTTAGTGGTAGACTCCAGAGCATTACTGGGCCGAATTTTCAGATTGACCCTTGGTGATCCTGAGTCCCACTTTTCTCAACAATTCTCAGATTCCGAGACAATGTTCGTGACAGAAAAATATTGTTGCGTCTCATTAATGAAAAGGAATCAGGCATTCCCCTTAGCAAAGGGCTATTGGGAAAGTATCTCCCCGTGCTGTGAGGGCCTGTATTGGTTTACCATTAAGAAAAAAATACTCAAAAGTTCTGCAGAAAGAGAAGTTCAAATCCCAAAAACCTTAAATTTAACGCAATTGTGACGACAATATCATGAGGCTGTAAAATTTTAATTCCTTAAAATCCTAAATTTCTGTTGCAATCATACGTGATTTTCCTGGGGTTTTGGGGTTTTGGGGTTTTGGGG